ACCGTTTTGCTGGCCAGGAGGACATCTGAGCCTCTGTTTCTGCAAGCTGCATGCGTCTCCACTGGCCCTGCGGCCTGCAGAGGTTTCTGTTCTCATTTCTCAGCGGTTTGCTCAGTACTTCGCGTCTTGTTTAGGATGTGTGGTTTCTTTAGGACCAACACCCTTGGCTCCTAATCTGGGACCTTGGGCTATAATGTTGGGGTGTGATGGATGTGGGGGGCACGTGGTGAAAACGCTCACTAACGTGGTTTTCGTGCCCTAGGCCTCTGGTTCACTCAGACCAGGGTACAGTGAAGGGAACCTTGAGCTCTGTGGCTTGGGGTGCAGAGGACAAATTCCAGCTCAGTCCTCTGGGCGTGGCCACTGGTTCCTGACCTGTGGTCCCCAGACTCCTGGGCATCCTTGTAGGCAGCGGCCACATCCTAGCTCCTGTTTCTTGGATGTTCACCGTGCACCAGGCACCATCCCACCTCTTCTTTCACTGAAGCTTCCTGAACGCCTCACTGACGTGGTGGGATTGTGTATTTTCCCCAAGGGGCACAGCAGCACTTTTAGTCACACATGCCTCCAGCACCTCACCGCTCCCTGCAAAGGACAAAGTCTGTTCTCCTCCTCCCGAGCCTGGGTGGGGCTTCGTGACTGCTTTGTGGGGCAGAATGTGGCAGAGGAACGCGCTGCGACTTCTGAGACTAAGCTACAAACGGCGGTGTGGCTTCTTCTTGGGTCTCTGTCTGTCTCTCTCTGTCTCTGGCTCACTGTCTCTCTGTGTCTCTGGCTTACTGTCTGTCTCTACTCTTTCTTGTGGTGCTTGCCCTTGGATCCCAGCCACCATGTGGTGAGGCAGCCTGGGAACCCACGCACAGGCCTTCTGACCCACAGCTAGGACCCTGGCCAGCATCGGATGCTCTGCGGGCAGACAAGCCTTCACAAGCCACAGGGTGATGATTCCAGCCCCCGGCCTTTGTGTTGATGTTGAACAGAGCAGAGACGAGCTGTCGCCGCCAAGTCCTGTCCAAGTCACTGTTTCACAAGCAAAGGGCACATCCACTCTCTAGCACCCTGGTCCGTAGCTCCAGAACACACAGTTTTCAGAAAATGGGTGACAGACCAGGAGGGAGTCAGAGATCTGGTCTGATACCAATTAGCGGGGCAGTCTTAGGCAAATCACTTAATGTCATGAGCCTCAGTTTCTCCATCTGTGAAGTGGGCAAGGTGTGGGATTTGACAGTTGGAGCAGCGGGACACTCCTAGCAGGGGAAGGGGCTGAGCAAGGGCGTGGAGGTGGAATGCACGGGAGGAGGGGGTGTTGGGAGACCTGCACTGCCCCGGGAGCTATGCCTGGTCCAGGGAGCAGGGCGGTGTCGGTGGAGGGGAGGCCGACAGGATGGACCAGGGGCTCGGAAGGGGCCGCGGGGTGGGATTTGAAGCAGCCTGTTAAGAACTAGGAGTTTGGTGTCTGTGCCGTATTGGAGAGGTGGCTTGGTCAGCGGGGCACGTACTCAGCACCCCGAGCCTGGCGTCCCGGTCTCAGCTCGGCTTCTGATTCGTTGGGTGACATTGAACAATGTCACCTTCCTTGTTCCACACCTCAGACTCATCCTGTGTGAAATGAACGTACACGTGTGTCTGTGTTCCTCATGTCCTAAGGCTGTAGAATTCTTGGGGTCCTGCCCTCGCGTCGGGTGTCCTGGGTCAGCTCTGGGAGGCTGCTCATTCAGGAAGAGGTCCTGCACTCGGCTCGCCCCAAATCCCAGGCTGCGGGGACCTTGGCTGTCCCGCCCTGGTTTGGTGCATCCGTCTTGTGAGGACATGTTGCTGGAGAGTGGCCCTTCTAGGACGCTGCTGATGAAGTGTCACCAGCACCTTACAGGTGGGGGGAAGCTGCGTGCTTGACATTGCAAGGGGCTCCTCTGCCTTTCCACTGGCTGCCCAGCCCCACTCAAGCCAGAGCTGACTGGGGACGCTGGGGAGCTCACCAGCATGTGAGCCGGGGGGCACTTTCCATGTGCAGGAGGGGCAGAGAGTGGAGGCCGGAGGTACTTCCATTGGTCTGTGATGAGGCTTTTGGAAACAGAGTCTCTCTTTTCACATTGCAAAGATAATCCCTATGTACTACGAGAATCAGAACATACAGGTAGTAAAACTAGTCAAACCACCCCTATGTGTTTGTCATGTACTGCGGGGACAGTTCTCCTCTTCCCTTCCCTCTTCCTTCCCTTCGTCCTCCTTTTCCCCCTCGTCCTCCCCCTCCTCACATGGGTGCGCGCGCGCGCACACACACACACACACACACACACACGCGCGCGCGCGACCATTCCATGTCAGTTAGCACAGATCAATTCTGTCGTTTTTCCCCTCCACGTGGTTTTTCACTGGATGCACATCCAACAGTCTTCCTCCGCTCATCCCTTGTGACCGTTACCAGCAACGCCTGATGAGAGTCTGTGTACCTATCTCTTGGCATTTTTACAGGATTGTTTCCAGGTTACCTCACTAGAAGTGTTCGCTGCTGTGCCCAAAGGTAGCCATGTTTTTAAGGCTTTTGATACATCTTGTCCAGGTTCCTTCCAAGGAGGCTCTTCCAGAACACAGTCGTGGCAGCGATGTTCGAGAGCCTCAGATCCCATGAGGCACCCTTCTCTTTCACTTTCACCAGCCTGAGAGGTGAAAAGTGACGTTTCAGTTGCTGAAGCCTCCCTCTCCTGGCCGAGTGTGTTAGCGTCTCCCTCACCGTCCGTACTCGGTCCTTCTGCTAGTGTTTACCGAGTACCTACTGAGTGCCTGAGCCATCGGTGGCACTGAGCATGCTTCATCACACGGTCTGTTTGTGCTCGCAGCTCCGCTGTGTGTGTTTTGCTCACTAGACCTAGAGGATGATAGACAGGGAGAGCTGTGAGGATTCTCAGAGATTGTCCAGTACCCTCATTTTTAGGGGAAGAACCCAAGGCCAGGGAGTGTGGGGACTTGCCCTTGGCCACACAGGGCTGTGCATTCCTGGTGGAATTGTAACTCGGGATCCCAGTCCTTCTGCTTGTCTTGATTTTCTCATCCAGCTCAGGGTCACTGGTTGGTGGAGTTCACCTCCCGGCTCAGTGCTGCCATCCAGGGTCACCCTGCCGGGCACACAGTAGGTGCTTAGCAAACTATTTACTGAATGAATGCTTGTGCACAAGAGAGCAGAGTGCGCTCTGCCATGGTGTGCTCAACGTCCCAGGAGGAAAGTCAGACCTCCATAAAGAAATGCCCCCCTTTTTTTTTTTTTGAATGGAAAAGGAAAATGAGAGGGCTGTTGGAATTGGTGGAGGTGGGGAGACAGGGCTGCCTGGGGCTTGGGACAGGTTTGCAGTCGGAGCTGTCAGGTCACTGGAATTTCCCTCAGGTTCTCTCCTCCCACCAGAGATGGACTGATCGAAGCGGGGCAGGGGGCGGTAAGGCAGACAGGAGAAGAGCTTTGCTTCCTTCGTGTGCCCTGTGTGAATCTGGACTGACTCTCCAGTGATTCCAGGGGACTGTCTCAAGTCACCTCTCTTACCTCCGTGCGGTTCATACCCAACCCCCTTGCCAACCCCTTGCCTAATCACCGGTCATATGTCTCCCTCAGGTAAAACACTCAGGCCGCCAGGCACTCTGGTCACCACAGCGACCAGGCTGGGGGGCTAGTGCCTGCCCCTGGCTAGATCTGCCTCAGGCTTTGCACCAGCCACACTGGCCTTCTTTAACCAGCTGTGAGGCCTGGGGCAAGCCCCTCCCCCTCTCTGAACCTCAGTTTCCTCCTCTGTAGAATAGACATCATGAGAATCCCAGTCATTCTGTGTGCTGTGAAGAGAACACCCGGGTTTAAGTGACTCTTGGCTCCTCTAGGCCCTACTTTTCCAAAAGAAGTCACATTCCGAAGCCCCTTATTCTCAATAAACCTTTTCTTCTGCCCAAGAACAGCCTACTTTAAAAAAAAAAAAAAAAGAACACCCTGCTTCTATTCCAAGCTCCGTTCCTTCCGAAGAAGGCCTTTTCTCTCTGGTCATGCCTTAACCTAGGCCACTGGTGTCTGCAAGTGGAGAATGCATGTCTTGACACTAGTTCCTTAATAGGGGCTGAGTTGTCACATCCACGGTCAGTGGACGTGTTTGTGGAATTGGAAGCATCGCACTTTGTCTCTGCCATCACTCCCTCTTGGGAAGAATAGGGAACATATCTGAATAGCACACTTTGTCACAAAGAGCCCTCTTTCAGCCGGATTTCCCCAGAGAGATTGTTCCGGGAAACAAAGGACTGACTGAGCCTAGTGGTTAATTTGCTGAGGGGTGTTCTTGGGTAATCCAGCATTGTTCTCTCAGCACATTGCTATTGACAGGTATGTGCAATAGGAAAGATCATGGTAAATATATAAAGGACTGTGGTGTGTGGGACTTATTCTAGGCACTTAACACAGCACCGGGGAGACTGGACATGTTCAATTACAGGTGAAGTCTGTAGTCAGGCACCAGCGTTTCTGAAAATGGGGATTTCTCAGTGGGCTGAGGTGGTCAGGGAGGGCTTCTCTGAAGAGGTAAAGATCTCAAATTCTCATCACACCAGTTGGGATTCAAAGGAGTTACTTTCCTTGCCTGGCACAGTCTCTCTCTCTCTGTCACACACACACACACACACACACACACACACACACACACACACACAGTTGGTCTTACTGAATTGAAAAGACACAAGAGTTCGATCTGGAAGATGAATAAGATGGAGGTTGATTGGATGAGAAAATATATTTTCATAGGACGGTCCTGGGGTGAGGATTGTCAACGTGAGAAAACAGCTTCAGATGTACAGGATTTAACGGTTTGCAAAGCACTCCTCACATCAATGAAGTCTTATTTCCTCACAGCCCCATGAGGTCAGCACCCAGGGAAAGTGAGTCTCAGAGGCTCCGTGACTTGGCCACAGAGGTAAGTAGGTGGTAAAACCCAGACTCCCGCGTTTACTGCTGCAAGTTCACAGCGCTTTCCAAGATTAAAACATGTTTTTCTCTCTCCACGGAACAGAGGAATGAAACGTATGTTGAGAAGCGGCCTAAAACGATGCGGGCCGGAGGAAGTACGTGAGAGTTGTAAGCTGCCGCCCTGGCCCGGCCTCATGAACCTCCCAGGCCATCCCACATGCCCTGATGTTCCTGCATCTGGACAGCATTGGTAAATGTAAGGACACCAGGGAGCAAGTTTGCTGGCAGCAAGGTTATTGCTAGGATGTGTCCTCTGTCTTCATGTCTGAGTGTGTCTCTGATGCTGTCCTGTGCTAGAAGCCCCAGTGGAGACTGAGAGATCATTGGGGCGGGAGGGGGGGTAAGGAGTGGACTAAATGCATTTATGGCTCATTTCTACCCGGACTAAAGAGCAGGGCCACCTGGGCTTGGTTGGACCCATCTCTAAATAAATGTACCAGAGCTGGAAAATTCCAAAGATGCTAGAACTCAACATCCAGTTCCTGGAGGTAGGTGTGGGTACTGGACAGGTCATCCTCTGGGTGGGAAGATTCCTTAGGTGGCCTGGTCCACTCAAGAGTGACACTGCCCATGGGGATTTTTATTTCTTCTCTCCTTCCCTCCGTCTCTCCTTCCCTCTGTCCTTTCCTCCTGCCTTCCCTCTGTCCTTTCCTCCTGCCTTCCCTCTGTCCTTTCCTCCTGCCTTCCCTCCCCTCCATCCTTCTAGAGTTCAGTGGTCCAGGAAATCTGCTCCCTGAAGGCAGCTCTCTTCCAGGAGAAAGAGGGGCAGGCTGGCCTCTGGATGCCATGTTTTCTACCCTGAATTTACCCGTCAGGAGTGCTTAGGAAAAACCCCTCCTCATCCCATATGGAGCGGGGCAGATGTGTTTTACTCGGTAGAATTAAACTGTCAGATGGCACAGATCATCTAATTCCAGAAAACCAGAGGGATGAGATCTCAGAGATAAGCTATTCTGACCAGCCCCCTCATTTTACAGATGGGGAAACTGAGGCACAGTGAGATGGTCAGGATCACTTAATCCTCACCTGAGTGGTCTGTAACTTTAACCTGTAATTTATGTGACACTACTATTATTAATACTATTAAAAACAAGACATCCGGACCAAAATGGAGTCACTTATGCTAAGCCTCAAGTCACCAAACTGGGATTTAACTTAAATATAGTTTTGGCTGTCCCAGAGATGGAATTTTAAACCAGTCAAGCAGGAATCACCTGATCAGCTCGAGTTAGGTAATCTGCTTGCTTGACCCCTGCCATCCTCTATAGGCAAAGTAACCTTGCAATAACCAGTCTGCTCTTGGCCTAGCATAACTTCCTTGTTTCCACTCCCTTCTGCCTATAAAAGTCTGTCATTTTGTACAGCTCCTCAGAGCTCCTTCATATGCGCTAGATTGGATGCTGCCTAACTCACGAATCATTGAATAAAGCCAGTAAAATCTTTAACATTTATTCAGTTGAGTTTTGTTTTTAAACAATATTATGACACAACTCTCTAGGGCAAGAAAAAGACAACTTTTGTCTCTCACCGCTTCACGGTGGTGCCGAAATTCCCAGGCCTATCCTGGAATGCTCTCTCACCTAGAACCCTGCCTAGGCCCAGGATGGCAGCAGTGGTCTCTTCCCAGGATGTCTTGACAGAGAGCTGTAATTGTGGAAACCCTGTCCTTGGCTAACTGTATTCTAGCCACAAGATTAAAAGAGGGGTAAGAGGAATGTCAGGAGGAGATGTGCATTTAATAATTTTTAAAGCGCCTTGTCCACTTCTGAATCCTTACTTTGTTTTCCTGCCTTAATTCTTGGTCACTGTAAATTACTTCAAAAAATGATTTTAGAATAGAAAAAGAGCTAGGAGTCAGAGAAGACGTCTTTAACATTTCATATTACTTTGACACTTTTTAGGATTTTAATTTTGAAGCATGGCAAAGAGGCAGAAATGGCTTTGGGCCATAGACGAGCAGAATCACTTTAAAATGAAGATAGTTTTTTTTTGGCTTGAGATCTTCCCGTAAAACTACCTGAAGAATGAACACCTCTCCCAGTGCTGATTGGAACAGAAAGTATTTCTAATTCCCTATGAATGAAAATAGGAACAAAAGTATTCCAAAGCAAGGACATAACTTGAATTCAGAGCTGAATCCATTACATCAAGCTCCGGGGAAGGGGTAGGTGGGGAAGCCCTGAAGTTGACCTGATGATTGGGAAATACCAGTTAAATGCTTTTGTAACTTCATCACTGTCAACAGGAAGACACTGCTATCCAAGCCTCCCATTTGCCTGAGAGTCAGGAGCTTCTAAACCAAGAAAGGAAGAAACCAAGCGGATTATTTACGAGCTCCTTCCCTCTTGCTGCTTGAAGCCGCTGTGCAATTAGCCTGTTTGTTACCGCGCCGGGGCAAGGCTGGGCGAGTTTACACCGCTCGGCGGGGGTCGGCAAGGCCGGCCTCCCGCGCCTCCTAGCGGACCTGTGGGGTGGTGCAGCCCGTGCCACCCGCTGCAGGAAAGCGGGCCACCGGCCGGCAGCGCCGCGCCCTGACGCCGTCTGCGCGCACAGCCTCGGCAGCGCTCTTCGCTCGCCTCCAGTCCCTATCCAGCGACCAGTCAGGCTGCGGGCGAGGGGATTCCAGCCCAGGATCCAGAGTCCGAGCCCTCAGCATCCTATCACACTGGGTACCGGCAGCAGCCACCTCAACCTGGGCCGGGAGCGCAAGCGGCTTTGGAGCTGTCAGCGGCGGTGCAACTTCCCCAGGGAGCCAACTTTAGGTTCGCCTAACGACTCGGTGCAGGTAGCTGGGTCCTGCGCACGGGTGGACGGAATGGCTGGGGCTGGTGGGGCCCCTGGGACGCGGGTGGAGGTGGTGGGGTGCTTTGCGATTCTGGTTCCTGGAGGCGCCGCCTCGCCCGGCTGTCGGGGGCCAAGACACGTGTCGAGTTCCCGAACTTTCCAGGATGCTGGGCTGGGGAGGAAAACCGCGAGAGGTGTCTAGGCCAGAGCGGTACTGGGAACAGCGTTTGGGCGTCCTGGGTAGTATTGAGCCAGGAGTGCCTCCAGGATGGACCACTGGACTGGGTTCCAAAGAAGCAACTGTTGTGGAAGTTCAGGGGTGGCTGGCTAGGCATTTTAGAAATGGGGGGGTTGAAGGGGGCTGGTCCTGAGCTGGGTTTCCCAGGCAGGTGGCTATTTGGGGGGTCTCCGGAGGGAGCAACTGGAGTAGGGTTTACTAGGAGAGGTGGCTGTGCTGTGGGTTCTGGGGTGTGGGTAGCTAGTTGGGGGAATCCCTAGGGGAGGTGGCTGGCTTAGAAGTCCCAGTTCCGGAGGAAACTGATTTTAACCCTCCGTCTTCGTCTCCTTCATTGGAAGCGACTTTCTCAAGGAACTGCGGTTCCGGCATTCCCGCTCATTTCGTGTCTCAGAGGGAGGTACCTGAAACGGGGATTTCTAGGGCGGCGGCTGAGCAACCTCAGGGCCGGCGGTTGTGACCCTAGTCCTAGATGATTTGGGGTTCCTGGGAAGGGGACAGCTGAGCCGCACAGGCGTCGGCAGAGAAGCGTGCGTTTTCTCACGGCCCTCGGGGTTTGTTTCAGAGGCCCATCCGTCAGATCGCTCCGCGGAGTCTCAGGGAGTGGAACCCAGGAGCCCCCAGGCACGTCCGGGCTGCGCGTCGGGCCCCGCCCCGCGCGCCACGCCTTAAAGGGCTCGAAGGCCTGGGGCGCACGGCGGCGGCCACCGTCATGGAGGGTGCGCTTGCCGCCAACTGGAGCGCCGAGGCGGTCAACGGGAGCGCGGCGCCCCCGGGGGCCGAGGGCAACCTCACCGCTGGGCCGCCACAGCGCAACGAGGCCCTGGCGCGGGTGGAGGTGGCTGTGCTGTGCCTCATCCTCTTCCTGGCGCTGAGCGGCAACGCGTGCGTGCTGCTGGCGCTGCGCACCACGCGCCGCAAGCACTCGCGTCTCTTCTTCTTCATGAAGCACCTGAGTATAGCCGACCTGGTGGTGGCGGTGTTCCAGGTGCTGCCGCAGCTGCTGTGGGACATCACCTTCCGCTTCTACGGACCCGACCTGCTATGCCGCCTCGTCAAGTACCTGCAGGTGGTGGGCATGTTCGCCTCCACCTACCTCCTGCTGCTCATGTCGCTCGACCGCTGCCTGGCCATCTGCCAGCCGCTGCGCGTGCTGCGCCGCCGCACCGACCGTCTGGCCGTGCTCGCCACATGGCTGGGCTGCCTAGTGGCCAGCGCGCCGCAGGTGCACATCTTCTCGATGCGCGAGGTGGCCGATGGCGTCTTCGACTGCTGGGCCGTCTTCATCCAGCCCTGGGGGCCCAAGGCCTACATCACGTGGATCACGCTTGCCGTCTACATCGTGCCCGTCATCGTGCTTGCCGCCTGCTACGGCCTCATCACCTTCAAGATCTGGCAGAATTTGCGGCTCAAGACGGCGGCGGCGGCGGCCGAGGCGGCCGCGGGACCCGAGGGCGCGGCGGCGGACTGCGCGGGGCGCGGGGCTTTGGCCCGCGTCAGCAGCGTCAAGCTCATCTCCAAGGCCAAGATCCGCACGGTCAAAATGACCTTCATCGTCGTGCTGGCCTTCGTCGTGTGCTGGACGCCATTCTTTTTCGTGCAGATGTGGAGCGTCTGGGACGCCGAGGCGCCCAAGGAAGGTAGCGCTGGCGGGAAAGCGGGAGGAGGGCGCGCGGCGGGGCGGGGCCGTGGTCCTGCTGCATCTGAACGTCCAGGGGCCGTTCTGTTCTGGGGGCCTCATGGGGGGATTTGAGTCATGGCCCCGTCATCCGCTGGCCTAGTGATTTGGGGCGTAACTTCCCTGAGCCTTGACTTCCCTTTCTGTAAAATAGCAAAAATGAAAAAAGTATTAGCTCTCCCCAGCAGCAGGGGAATGAAATGAGAAAATGCACGGAAAATCCCTAGCACAGTCTTTGGGCTACATATTTGGTTCACTATTATGGACCAGGAAACTGAGGTTCCAGTGACTGGCCTTTTCCACCTGCTTAGCGGAGCGGGGGAGCCGAGTTTCCAACCCAGGCCCAAGCTCAAGCTCCTGCCACGTAAAGTTCACTTTACGTTGAGCTTCCACTTTAAGTTCAAGTCAGCCTGAGCCCGAGGTCTGGTTTGGATCAGAGCAGCGGGAGGTGGGCGATTGGATTCCTCCCCAGCAAGTGCTGAGAAGCTGCGGGGCGGGGTGCCGTCAGGGTGCAGAGACTAGTCCTGAGCCCGTCGCCCAGTGGAGACGGCGAGCTGTGCCGCGCGGAGGTGAGTACCGCGGGGACGGCGGGCAGGCGCGGGGCTGGCGGTGCTCAGGAACAGAGATGGCGCTTCTCCTGGGGTGGGGGGCGGGGACGGGCAGGGAAGGGAAAGGGGACGCAGACTTTCCCATTTGACCGGGGAGGCCGGGGGATTTCGGGAGGCGGCGAACGCCCTCTCCAGATTGAAGGACTGGGAGGTCAGGGCTGAGGGTGGCCGGGAGACCGGGAGGAGAAGGTAGCATGGAAGGCTTTGTGGGGAGGGATCTTGGGGGAGCAGAGCGCCTCGGGTCCGACTTGTAGCCGTCGCTTTGCGGCTGGGACCCCCAGGCAGCTCCCGCCTTCAGCCTTCACCACGGACAATTCAGGTAGCTCATTAGCAAAGAATAGGAGGGATGATCAGTGGTGGTGAATGACTTACACCTTTTGGTTTGAGGGTAAGCACATAACACTGCGCTGGGATGCCCGCGGCTCAAATGCTTGTAAGGAAAGACCCGAGGGGTTTGCTTTCACCCCTTCTGCCCTTGAGATAGCGCAAATGTCCCGTTTCTGGATAGAATCACTATTGCTAACAGTAGTCTCCAACACAGCCATTCCGTGGAAGCTGAAATCTTCCTTCATGCAGTTGGATAACTTTGCTTTGCTCTCTTCCCCAAACCACAGACTCCTTGCTTGCCCCAGCCGTCCCAATTAGCCCAGTGTTTGCCTTAGTGGCCAGAGCAGTTATCATTCAGCATTTATTGAGCACCTGGGGTATGCCCGGCTGGGTGGTTTGCAGGTGAGGATTGCTGTGAAGACTCAGCAAAGCCAGCCTGGCTTCATGGTGCTGCCCCTGGGAACACCTTGCAGAAGGGGTTCGGCGGTCCAAAGAGGGGAAGGCACTGGCTCCAGATCACACAGCAAATGGGAGGCAGACTAGAACTGGGGTTTCCTGCCCCCACCTCATCCCTGCAGCACCAGGCTTCTTTTGAAGGGCACATGACTAGGGAGTTGGGTTGGGCAAAAGCCAGTAGTGGGTGTTTCTAGACAAGGCATCAGGCCATTCCTGTTTCCTGGGTGGGATCTGAAGAGCTACTTGACCCAGGTCTTGAGGAGCTCAGACACCAGCCCTTAAGGAAGTGAGACCCTTAGAGCAGCTATTGGGGAGACTTGGCATCTAGGCCTCCCTCCAACCTTTACTCACTGAAGGGTCTTCTTCCCTCTCCTTGCGCTCATCCATTCTGCAGCTGGTCTGCTTCTCTCTCTGCCATCCCCTCGCCTCTCCTGTTCATTTTCTCCCTGGTGACTTTTCTCCTCCCTCCCCCCTCCCTTCGGCCATGACTGCACCTGTGCTCCTCCTCACTTTCCTCCCTAGAGAATGAGTATGTGGTCAACGCAGATCATGGTCACTCAGTAAAGTTTAGATCTTTTCTACACTTGAAAAGCTTATCGAACAATTCATTTTCCTGTCTTAAAAACAAGATACAGGAAGAGAGAGCGAGAGGGAGTTCCCAGCTAAAGTGGGGCCAGAGGCATTTTGGGTACATGTGGCCACCTGAGGATTTCAGGGGGGGTGGTTGGGGGTGGGAGGGGAGACGTGCAGCGGAGACGGGCTTCTACTCGGGCTCCAGGAGCCTCAGGTCCTGTTTCTCTTTGCTCCTTTCCTGGTTCAGGGGAAAGGGTGGTGGCACGTGAAACAACCAGGTCTTCCGGGTCCCCCTTGGCATTCTGCCTTGGCTGCTCTGAGGAGAGCACAAACGCAGACGACAGGAGAGTCCTGATGCCGCTGCTGCCAGCACTCCCTCCCTGAGTGCTGTCAGGAGCGGGCTCCCGGCTCACCGACCACAGAGGACTTGGGCACCTGCCGCTGGCCTGGTCAAGTTGCGCCTCGGCCTCAGGGCTGCAGGGTCCGGGGATGTGGGCTGAGCCAGAAGCACGCCTTGTGCCCACTTGGCCTTAACCTGGATAATTACGAGTAGCAGGCTGGGATCAGAACAATTGCGTTTACAGTCACTTCGGAGACGTGACTCAGTCTCGAGGCTCTGGGCAAGTAGTAAGGAAGGAACAAGACAGGGACATTCGAGCTACTTGAGCTTTTGATCAGCAAAGTGGAATTGATGCACAGCCCTCACTTTCCTGTCCAGGAGGAAGGGAATTTACCGGAACACAAACTCTCTAGATCAGGGCCCCTGGCTCTGCTCATCTCCTGGCGAGTGGAAATCCAGGGAGCCCTTGTGAACAGCGAGACATTCTTCCCAGCAGCCCGGGGGCAGGCAGCCTCAGGGACGCAGGAGTGGGGCCTCGTTCCTGCTGTCAGCTTCATCACGAAAGCCTCTGGGCCAGCGAGCAGCTCCTTAACCCCTGACCATGGGTCGGGGCCGACAGGGCGGCTGGAGAAGTCACACGTGTCTTGGCAGCTGGCCTCGTGGCCACCACAGGACTCCAGGTCCCTCCTTCCTTAGGGTTCCCTCCCCCGCAATTCCCTCGAAATCCAGCGCGCTTTTCCCATCTCTCCCCTTGAACACCTTCAGTCACACCAAGTTCTGACTTTGTGGGTTTAGAGCTCACCTTGTTCCAAAAATAATTGGAGGGGGGCCCAAAGATTCGGGTGCCACAGCAAGATAAAATGGACGTGAGGAAGCTGGGAAGAACGGGGGAAAGGGTTAGAGAAATGGTAATACAATAATAGCAATTATGAAGTCTCCGTCCGGGGCAGGGGGTGAGCTGCACGTGGGGCTTCCTTTCATAAGAGCCAAAGCAAAGAGGAGAACTCTCAATTTCAGTATTTGCATTGTTCAGAGAGAAAAGCAGGGAGAGGAGAAAAAAGCAAGGGGAGGGTTGTGGTAATGTAATGAGCCCCCCTCCCCACACCCCGTTTCAGAGCAGCCACATGCTGGTAGGGCCCTGCTTTGGTGTGACTGGTGACGCTGCAGAAGGAGGGCTGGGACCAGACACCCCTGGCAGGTTTGGACAAGCCCCGGATGGAACTTTCAGGATCGAATTGCACAGCCAAAGATTTGGCACTGGCCTTTTCCCTTGAACTCGGTGGAACTTGCTTTGCTGCTGGTCCCAAGGAGTCTGACCCCGGAGTGGTTCTCAGGGAGGAGATGAAGATGGATGATGGATCCATTTGGTGGAGACCGCGGGTGGGCGCTGTAGGTTCCCAGGTCCCCGTGCAAGGAAAGAGCAGGTGTTGGAGCCACGTGACTGGCCTGTGTTTGGAGCCCGCCCTCCCACTTTCTCCTGTGTGTCCTCGAGCAGGTGGTCTCCCTTCTCTGAGCTTCAGCTTCTTCCTCCTCTCTTACAATGAGGATAGCAAGTCTATTCGTGGGGCTGATACGAGGGTGACATGGTGTGACCCGTGGCACCTGGGGGGGCCACGTGGTCAATGTCACTCTTCTCTCCTCCCCCCATTCTAGTTGTTAAATGTTTTGTTTGCCTTCGTGGGATTGACTTTGCGAATCTCGGCAGGGATTTGAGCTGGAGGAACTAGACGTTTTTCTCTTGAGAGCCTGGGTGGAGGGGCCTGGGGTGGTAGCAGAGTCTGCTGGACGGTAGGTGGTGTGTCCGGGGAGGTTTAGTATGTGGAGAAGCTCGTGAAAGCCAGAGAGCTGGACTGTGAGCCTTGTCACAGCGGGGGCACCACCTGTCCTGTTCACTGGTGTGTGCCCAGTGCCCAGCACAAGGCGGGCCACCTGTCCGAGCTCAAGCGGTGCTTGTTGAACAAATGTGTAGGGTATGGGAAGAGGAAGGTGCACGTTACGGGGCTGGGGTGGGTGTACAGAGCTGGACTCAAGAGAAATGAAAGCTCTCTAGGCAGCGCTCTGGCCGTAGGGTTGGCTACTTGGTGAAGAAGTGAGCACCCCAGCACTGGGAGCAATCAAGCTTCTGCCCGGGAAGGTACCAGGAGGAAGGTTGAAATGCACAGGAGGCCTAGTTTTAAGTGTTTCCCCTGTCTGTGAAACGAGCTTGCCAGCACCTCCCGGTTTTTGTGGAACTGTGGCCCCTCCAGTGTGGCTGCCCGCCCACCCTGCCTTTCCAAGGACACTATGCCCGAGGTGTGGGTGGACCACATACCTTGGAGCGGCCTGCTGGTCAGGCGACCCGACGATAGGGCGGAGAGCAGAGCCCAAGTCCACTGTGTGGGCTGCTTTGTGCATAACTCCAGGGGGTTCCATTTAAGGAACCTGAGAATGAGAATGGTCTGTGAGAATGGTATTCCTAGGAGCTGTGCACTGCGCAACCTGAACAATTGGGCAAGGCAGCTTCATCCAGTTCTGACTCTTGTGAAGCTTTCCCTGTTGCCCCCACCTGAGGGTCTCCTTCCTCCTCCAGTGCGTTCATTCTATAAGCAGTGATTCAGCGCCTCCCAAGGGTCCTGTCCACACAACCTCTGCCTCAATTTGTCCTCCTATGAGGAGGGT